GCTAGAACGGGGGATTGCGGGGGTTGCGCCCGCGAGAACGAAAGTCCCACGGGTGTTGGATATTTCAAACTCTTTATGGGTCTCGTATAATGAGGACCTCGGTGGGAGGTCCTTCACCCGGTGTGTCTGTCACCATATGCCATGTGGGCCCATTGCAATCCACAAGTTCTTGCAATTTGGCGAACAGACTTTTCTGTGTAAGCTATTCCTTGTATTCACCCATAGCTGCGACAATCCGTCACTCAGGTGTCTTCCTGGATGTGGTTTTGGCTGATATGTCGTCTTATGAGATATTACACAATAAATCATGCTTACCATGATCATGATCAAGCATGATGCAATAATCATGCTTGATCTATTCAGAAGTTTCAAAATTTCCTCTACTGTGCAATTTAAAGTTCACAATCCTATTAACTTCAGCATCAGAAATTTGCGTAGCTTTAGAAACACAGAATTTTTATTCATACATAAACACAGAATTTTTATTTGTTAACTTCTGATAACTTTTAATATTTTAGTTGACGCAAACAATTATTTTAAAAATATTTAAGTAACTTTTCGGAATTATTGCCAAATATTTTTCGCCATTTCGCACAAGGTCGCTCTAGTATCTTGAAAAGTGTGACAACAGATCACCATTTCTCTGCTAATGTGTATTCACCGATGAGGCATCCGTCTCAAGGGAAGGAATATTGAACGCACTTTAACGCCCTTCTCTGAGCAGTACAGAACTCTCATGTAATACGATGTAGTGCAGTGCAGAGTCGGGTTTCGGTAATGTTTTGCCCGGCATTGTGGGGGATCATCTTACCCAAGTAGCACAGGTGACAGGTGACGGAGGACGGGGACGCCTGGTGTTTAACAGGGGTAAGCAGGCATATGTCCCACGCCTTCCACTAACCAGATGCAACAACTCCCTGGAGCTGCACAAGGCCGCACCTGGAGCTTACTGATATTCCATTCAGATTAAACATGGCCATACAAGGGCGACATTGGGCTACATTGAAATTTGATGTACATTTGTGGGTGGGGTAGTCTTGTTTGTACATTAAACAGAGCATAAACACACATGAAATGTGCACGTAATAAAAAATAATTAAATAATAAAAAGAATACATGAATACTAAAAACACCTACCTATAACATTCAACACCTAAGACGCTTCAAACCCGTAGACACCTAAACACTTAAAGACACTTGAAAGGTACACAAAAACACTTAACACTTAAATACAACATACATATGCAATTGAGGTAATACAATGTACAGTGACACAATATGCAATAATAAACGCATATAATGCAATACTCACATGCTCAGAAGATACGTAACGCAGTGCACATGTACACAGTACGCATTACGCAGGACACATGAGTGATAATCTGAGATATTAGCATGTTAACGCGCGCAGTGCAGTAGCGATAGTAGTGTACAATCAATGTGGCTGTAGAGGTAATACAATATGCAATAGAGGTAATACAATATACAATAATACAAAGTGCAATAATAACACATATTATGCTGTACTCATATGCACAATTGATACCAGACAGTACACAGTATACATGGGATGCAGTACGTAGGACACAGGATGCAATGCAATATGCACCGGAGGTAATATAATATACAGTAATAATCACATATAGTGCAGAATTCATATGCATATATTTACATAACGCAATACACAATACACAGAACACTTTACGCAGGACATATTAATAATCGGAGATATTAGCGTATTACGCGCACAGTGCAGTAGCAATAATAGTGTACAATCAGTGCAGCCATAGAGGTAATACAATGTGCAATAAGAAGTAATGCAGTATACAATGATATAAAGTGCAATAATAAGCAAATGCAATGCAATACTCATAAGCACAAAAGATACAAAAACGCAGGAGACGATATGCATGACGCAGGAAGTAATGATCATTTAGATGGCATTAGCATTAGCATTACGCGCGCAGGTACAGCAGCAATAGTAGTGTACGATCAATGCCGCCATAGAGGCAAGTACTTGTACAGGGTATACATATGATGCGATACGTATTAGACATACATAAAAATACAATATGCTGTGATAAGCATATGTAAAGCAAGACTCATGCACAATTGATACAAATCGCAATCACAGCAAAGTCGTTTACTACAACCACGTTGCAAACGAGTTTGCAAGCGTTGCAAACGAGTTTGCAACGTGGTTGTAGTAAATGACTTTGCTGTGCTACGTCGTAACGACGTTGCAAACTCGTCGCGGACGTCGTTGCAAAAACGTTGCAATATGTCGTCTTTAAGACGCCCAGATGTCCGCGAACATCCACTGTTTTGCAACCGTTGCAAAGACGTCTTTATTAAGTCTTTGCAGATGAGGTTTTTGTCGCACAGACGTCGTTATTGCGTCTTTCGCAGGTGATATTTTGGTTGTGAAAGCATCGTATCAAGACGTCTTAAAGACGCCTAAATGTTCGCCAAATTCCACCTTTTTGCAACAGTTGTGAAAATGTCTTTATTATGTCCTTGTGTTACATGTTGATTTTAATATATTTGCATTCTTTTTTAAAATTTTGTATTCCTTGTATTTATCTAAAGTTTAAATATTTTATCATTTCCTGAAAACCAGAAGATAATACAATTTTGCTCTTTAGACTAAATATGCATAATTAATAGTAGCTTTAATTATTTTCAGCACTTTAAACTATATTTTTTAAATAACTTAAATTCTAAGTTACGATTATTTAAGATTTCATCATTTTTTTCCCGTAAGTGAGAGTAATTATGAAAGTGGTTGTTATAAATATATAACATTAATAGTAGGTTTCAAGTAAATAAAACTCAATTAGACATAAATAAAAGTAAAGATACATGTGTGGGTAAAAGAAGGAGAGTTTCTGATAACAGCATTATCACATTTATTTCTGTTAAATCTCAGAGGCATTGATAATTACCCCTGAAATAATAAATTAGGATATTGGACCTTACCTGTTGCCTTTTCGTCTAACCGATTTAACTATTTGATCTTTCTGTAGCAAATCATTCCATGATTTTTAGATGACGAACAAATTTCTGCATCGATGCGACAGACAATGTGGTTTCAACACGATGATGCCCATTTCAGTCATAACTTTCGTACCCACCTAGACATCAGATTTGGCCAACAATGAATCGCTCATGGTGGTCCGATGCTTTGGCCTGCTCGATCACCGGACCTATCATGTCTTGATTTATGTTTATGCGGGCATATGAAGACACTGCTTACTGCCCCACGGGGTTTCCTCCTTCTACTTGCTTAAAGTAGAGTGCAATGAAGGAAACCACTGGCGGTACATTTCTTAAGAGCCACCGCTAGCTCAACAAATAAAGGTGATTTAAATAATAAAATGTTAATTCACATGTCAAAGATCTCTTTGTAACAACATTTCTTGTGTAGATCTTTCCATCATTTTTAAGCTCGCCTTGCAGAGGACCCTCCATTATTTTTAATTTTAAGTCCGTTCTTTCACGAACTCTTGAACAGGCAACATAAAGTTGACCGTGTCCAAATGCAGGCTCAGGTAAAAAAATGCCAACACGCTTAAGCTTTTGGCCCTGAGACTTATGGAAATTGTCTACGTCTCAATTGAAACGGCAACCTTGTGCCGTGGCAACTTCGCCCCATCGGCTAGTGCAGTTACGCAAGCAACCAATAAACTATCGACGGCAAACAGACCCTTAAGCCGCATATAATAAAGATATTTATTTATTTCATTTTATTTGTTTTTTCATCGTTGCCGATTACATATTTCCAAATTCTATTATAGTATATAGATGTTAAATTTATTTATTAAATGTTAAATGCACGTGCTGCTTTTGTATTTTTAATTTTTCCGGCTTACCTTTCTAATAATATTCGTCACGCGCTGCACTGCACGGGGAATAAAACAATTTACAGTTACGCAAGCAACCAATAAACTATCGGCGACAAACACTTAAGCCGCATATATATAAGATTCTAATAAAAAATTCCGCACCAGGTTTTGTTAAACATCTAGTAATAAAAATCAGTAAAATGAGAAAATTAGAAATCGTTTTTATTCATCAACGTTCATTTCTTATACTTACAATGCAATAAAAAAAAAATCCTTTCTGTTTTTCTGGAATAATACACAAGAATAAGGTTTAAAATACCATTGAGAATTTTATTATAAATTACAAATCTTAAATAATAAGTAAAACAAACATGAAAGAGGCAACAGCTAAGTACAGTAAGACCCCGCTTAACGCTGTTTCGTTTAGCGCTGTTTCGGTTTAGCGCTCTTTTATTTCAACCCGGGGGATTCCACGAAATTCGCTCGCAGCATACGGGGATTCCCCGAAATATTATGCAGCGATAGGTTTCAAATACATATCCGAAAGAGTGTACTTGTATTTCTTGTTTGGTGCGGTATTGTACAGACATATTTTGAAGGGGTAAATGTGGAAGATGTCGAAGAAATAATTCAAGAAGCAGCGGCTAGTCTTTCTAATGATGAGCTCAAGGAATTAACTGAACAAGAAGAAAACAAAAATGTTGACAGCAGTGATTCAGAAGAAGAGCAAAAAGAACTGGCGTTTGTAAAAAGGAGTTTGTCTACCATAACTGAAATAATGGATCAATTCATTGAAAATGATCCGAATTTTGACAGGAGCTCAAAAGTAAGGCGTGGTGTTAGAGATGCTCTATCCGTTTATGAAGAACTTTTAAGAGAAACAACGCAAAAGAAAAAGGAAACAACATTAGATGCTTTTGTCACAAAAAGGCAGAACACTGAAAAACGCGGAAGGCTAACTAAATATGACTGAGAATTTTATTTTGTTTTTTTTTAAGAATATTCGTTTTGTTTTATTGTATATTTTGTTTTTATTTGTTTTATTTTTTTTGCAAGAAATAATAATGTGGTATTAATTTGGGCTTTAAGAAATAAATGTTTGGTTTTATTTTTATTAAAAAAACATACTTTTTAAATTTAATACCTAACCAATTTCCTAGCCATCTTTCCCTAACCTCAATATTTACATGTAAAGATAGCCTCGTTTAGCGCTGTTTCGCATTACGCTCTACTTTGATGGAACGTATCCCCCCCGCGTTAAGCGGGGTCTTACTGTAAATGAAAAAGCAAAACGATGGCTGAACGAGCAACCGGTCTTCTGCTGTGAAGTCACGTCCTCGTAAGTTAAAATCACATCTCTTCGCTTTCATGCCTCATGATCAATAGGGTATGCAACTGCCCCCACGATGCAGCTGCAATCAGCTGCTGAATGCTCAGCGCCATCTTAGTACAAATTTCTAGTTTAATATACAAATCACATTCTATTTACAATATACATTCATTTATATATTGTAGCCACATTTCTGATTCACTCAAGTACTCTTTATAATATGAATCTTTGAAGAATATTAACATAAGCGACATAATGTGATATTATATGTAAGTAATTATACATAAATTTAGTTTTATCGTGCTTTGATATCAGTCGAAATAAATAAAAACGTTAACACTGGACATTAACGCGCCTTTAAATGGCAAAATGCATAGTTTCTGAAAAGATACTTTGCAGTTTTATACAAACGTGAATTTAACATTAATACTGAACATGTATTTAGTTTCATTACATTTAAAATCGTCATTTTAACAAACTGGTAGTTCTATAACTATGCAAGAATTCGAATGGATATAATTTTCGAAATGCATAATAGCTCTAATATATTTCGAGCCACAAATGGAATTCCAAAGATTATTAGATACCTATCACAAAGATAACGTAACATATTAATAAAAATAACATATTACAAGCATAGATTTTAAATCTAAAAGAAACCAGTTTGTTTCAGATGAGTATTTCTTTGGTAAATAATGGTTTTTAAACTTGCAATTAACAGCAGAGATCATTGATAAACCTTAAATAATTTATGCCAATCGCTATTTAAGCTTGAATTAAATAGCGATTGGCATAAATTATTTAAGGTTATTGAATTAAAATAATTTAAGCTAGTCGCTATAAATTTCCAGATCGAGATTCTAGTTGTCGAATTTCTGCTTCATATACTAATTTACAGAGTTCCATTTTTATTTTCGCTTGATCGATAGGTGGCAGTCTTTTGACGGTCTCAGATATACTTAGAAAAAACATTTCAGTCTCATCGTGCACAGTGTTCGACACAGGGCGTTCCACCACTCGATCCCGACGAAAATTTATTTTGCGTTTAGGAGCTGGCAACACATCATGCATTTCATCCTCCGGTTCTTTCTTCGGTATTAAGTTAGATGTTCCTGGTAGAATCATTTCTGGACTATCTTCTCTCTCCGAAAACATTGAATTGTCCACATTTCCTTCATTATATGAGACAGATAGGTTACTAAGACTTGAAGATTGCGAGTGCAGTTCCGTATCATTTTCAGGCCTGGTAGAGATAAAAATAATGTTTATAATAAAAAGATTTAAAAATAAATGTATAAAAAAAAATCTGAAAACTTTCAGATTTTATATTACCCCCAAAGGGGCGTTTTTTTAATGTTTTGCCTGTTACCTTTACTTATTAAATATCATGTTCTTCGCATTTAAACCATGAAATTCAAAAGCAATATCATAAATTATTTAAAAGAGCATATCTTTAGAATTTCCGATATACAGGCTCGCGCGCTGGTGATGAAATTCCCCCCCCCTATCTTTTTTCCGTACAGTGTTGCCATTGCTCGCTTTGAAATCGTTCAGTTTGTTAAACGAAAATTCTTTAATGCTTGGCAAAATATGAAATAGATCATAAAACAAATTCCAAATTTGGGCTTCCAGATGCCCATATTCGAATGGAGGACTACGTTATTCAAAATCTGATGTCTCTAGGTAGCCCCCCTTATTTTTACAGTGTGAGAAAAGTACATACATTCATGCAGATTCTTCATTATTTAATTTTCTTAACTATAACGCAGGGCTCTAATATTTGACGGCAACAATTTGAAAACTGAACCGACATTTATACTTTTTGTTTATGTATAAATTATTTATACCAAGATCGTTGGTATAAATAATTTATACAATGACATTTATATCAAAGTTTATACCACATTTATACCATTTATACTTGGACATTTATACCATTTATACTTGGACATTTATACCATTTATACCATTTATACTTGGACATTTATACCAAGATCAATACGCAACCACACGAGAGCTTGATAAGCAGTTAGATGTTAGTGCCATGCCCATTAGTCGCACTATGCATCCTGTAAATTTGACGTCCAACTTCAATCGCTGGATGCCGCATGCAATATCAAGCAGAGATAAGGACAGACGTGTTCGGGCCTTCACTAATGTGTTCGATTATCAACGAAAGGACAAAATTCTGGACCGTATCATTAGTTGGACCTTCTGGACCGTGATGAAAAGTGGATTTACTTCAACAACACAGGCCGAAAAGGAGGTTGGTTTGAGCCCGGTGAACTAACTCTTCGGCAGCGTCGCAAAGCGCAATTCGACTAACAACAACGATCGCGCTTTGTATCTGGTGGGATTGCCGTGGTATTATCCACAAAGAGTATCTGGAAAAAGATAAAACCCTCGTCAGTAAGGTGTACAGCGAGATGATATTCCGCGTTGATGTTGCTAACGTCGAACTGAGTTCCAGCGCATAAAGGTAATGTTCCATCAAGATGATGGCAAGACCACATGTTTCTGCATTCACCGGCTGGACTCTGTACGAACTCGAATGGGATCTTTTGCCTCACACACCCTGTAGCCCCCGACATCGGTCCTTCGGACTATTTTCACACCTGCTGCTACATCTTATTGATGGTATCTTCCATTCTGCACAGGATGACCGAAATGAGGTTGATCTGTTTTTGGACTCGCGGCTACCAAGTTTCTGGGCCGAAAATTTCAGTTCTGCTTTCTTTGAAAAACTACCAAAGCATTAGCAGAAAATCATAGATTTGGGTGGTGATTACTACCCGCACTAAAGGTACTGCTTTCATATTTTTTTTCCTAACTTTATTAAGAATGTTTTTCGGCGGAAAAGTTTCGTTACAATCAGATAAAACACATGCATAAAAAAGGGGGCTACTGAAATCTACACAACCGAAATCATGGTGTTATGCAAACTCGAAGTGGTTTGGGAAGCTTGTAAATATCGGCTATGTCCGAAGCTGAGAATATTTATTTCAGTTATTCGTTAGACTTCTTTGAGACCTACTCGTTGATTACTGCTTTGGACATTTATGTGTGGATAACTTATGTTGTCTGCGATATTACTTGCCTGTTAAGGTGAATTTAAGTTATCTGCGATATTACTTGTCTGTTAAGGGGAATTTATTTCTGTTTTCTCTGTCTGACCTGTTTGTAATCTTGCTGCATGAGTAGCTATTTATTTCATTAAAACGTCAATTTCTTTCTGTTCATCGAATGCAGTTATTAAGTGGTCTCGGTGGGCCCATACCACAAAACAATTATAAAGTATTTCGAGTAAATGATTGAATACTTTTCATTTAAAACAGTTTCATCTTATTGCACGTTCGTTTTCATGGTTTCAGTTTAAATTATAAGCACAAGATGAACTTTCAATTCTCATAAAAGCATTTAATTGTTTCATAAAAGATAACTTTATGTATTTTAAAATGGAGTCTTATTTATTTATTTATTTTTCAGGAAAAACTATAACAAAACAAACAAAAAAATTATTGGCTTTATTAGAATCCTTAATTAAATTATAGAGACAAAATTACATTAATGCAACTAGATTATTTATCAGTTTAATAAACAAGTTATGTGTACAAAATGTAGAATTAAGGGATTCAGTATCTTTCCATCAAAGTATCATTAAATAATATCGTTCATCAGCAAGAGTGCAACACAACAATTCAGAGACTACGTTTCGAAGAAAGCCTGATTTGGTTTATGTGATTATGGCAAAACCTCGAGGACTATCTGCCAAATATGCATACTGCAATATGACTAGAAAATACTATTCAGTAATTTGTAAGTTGTTTTTACTAAAAGAAAATAAGAAACTTACGATCGTATTTCAATGAATGGCAATAAAAATGACATTTCGTCTTCATATTTCCATTTCGGAATGTTCTTGCCTTGTCGTCTATTAATAGCGTTTAAATAACAGTTCCGCAACTTTCTCCACATATCTTTGCATTGTGAAGCTGCAAATAAAAAAATAATATTTGATTTGAGTCAAAAGAAAATATTATCATAATCAAAACGTGTAATATATTTCTTTGCATTTTCCAGAGATAAATTATAATAGTTCATTTATATATTTAAACACAACTTGATGAGCTTAGATCATTTTACTGGAAGTGACATTCTTTTGAAATTTTAAAAACCACCATTTCTTCAAGCATCACTGAGAGCCAAAATTTAAGGTTGCATTTTGACCTAAACGTCAGAATAATATTTGCAGAGATATAAATGACATGATAATTTTTTAGAATCGCCAGGTTACACAGTGCATACACAAATTTAACAAACTTTTAAAACTGAGTACATTTTGCAAAGTCTTGCCATTTTGGGAAGCATGCACTAAGGTACTCTTGAAGAACTAAGCGAATTATCGCTATGTCTTGTAAATCAAACAGAAACGTGAAAAAGGTATAAAGGACCCTTAAGAAACTCAAATAGCTGAACAGAAGGCACCTCTTGTCCTTATAAACTAGCCAGCATTTATGATTTATTTGATTATACAAGGTATACAAGGCTATCTGTCTAAGGGGAAAGGGTGTCTTCGTGGAAGACTTTCTAAGGTAAACTGGCTCGTATACACGTAAAGAGGTTATCACACATGGCTACAGTCCCTGCTAGACGGTACTTATCTGAGAAACGAGATTCTGGTAGCATTGGTTTAAACGGGAGGATTCCTAGAAAAAAGAGCCCCGCCTGAAGCGAAGTTCCGCCTAGCTACGGAAACTATGTTGCGGCTACGTGGGATTTTTTCAAACCTCACCGAAATGTCTCGGCTGGACCTCAGTCCCGGGTAGTGACAACCAGTCAGACGAAAGTTCTGCTTCTGAAGCCTCGCGTGATCCCACTCTGAGCGATAATCGATTAGTGTTTGGCGTTCAAGTCATTGTAGTAAGTGAAAATGGTAACCTAGCTACGTGGGTTTCCTGGAATTGTGCGCGTTCTGAGAATTGTCCCTTTTCGACGTCAAGTCCCGCGTAGCCGAAACATAATGTGATTGGGACTTAACACATGGAGAAAAACACGAGAACGCCCTTGCAGCCAGCCCGTTCGCCGGGTGCGAAACCCAGACCGACTAACGGTGTTCGGCGACTTTACCGGTGGGCCGTTAGTGGATCTTATCTTAAGCAAGAAGACACATGACACATATATTGTGACACACGAACAGGTATATGTATTGGTATTCGTGTTTTCTTATTTAATACCTTAAACTGGTTACACGAAAGCTGATCAGACGACAATTTATCTCCGTCCATCGATAGTGACAATTGATCATCTACCACTTAGGGATCAGCTGTATGTTTGAATCACTAGGGAGAGTTTCAAATATACAGCTGATCACATAAATACAGATATCTGTTCCTTAAGATTTACATAAAAAATTAAACATTTATTAAAATTAAGAAGGCAAAAATGCCATACCAAGAATAATATTATTCACAAACTTAAGGTGATAACATAAGTTGCTATTGCCCTTCTTGAACTACTTAATCACAAACTTGTAATTTAAATATACAATTACTAAGTGTAGGAAACACACACTGCAGTTGACGATTTTACTGTCTATATCTGGTCTTTCGAGTCCTAGACCTGTACATTAATTTCAAAAGTAAAATTTTTTAATATAGGCAAGTTGTTGCCATAATCCTAATTATCTAAGTTAGTCTTGGGCTGAGACGTCCGAGGTGTGTACCCCGCATAATTAACAGATTGATTTAGTGTGTCTTGTCCATTTTATGTTTCAGAGCGCTAAGCGCTTGATTCTTTCTGTTTGGGGACAGTTATCGTCGTATTAGAAAATACTTCCTCTGACAATGGCTGATTACCACTTGTAGCTTTTTATTTGCTGTTTTGTTTTTTCTCATATTTTCCGCCCATTGTGGCCAGCCAAGTCAAGCCAAGTAAGCTTGACTTGGCTTTCTTATATGATATTGCACCGTGTTTGTTCAGTGGAAGACGTAGTGGTCTAGATCCCCCACCTCTCCATATTGACATCTTTCTGTGTCACTCAGGCTGAATCTATGCAGATAGGTCAGGAAAGGGCCATGATGTGTATAAAACTGTGTCTGACTGCCACTACTGCAATTTAACTCTAGCCGTTTAGTTTGGTGTCACATAGTGGCCTAGAGTATACATTTTTAGATGTGTTTCAGCCGGATGTCCTTGTGTCACTGGTTTGTGTTTTTCAAAGTCTTCAGCAAAGTGGTGTTGATTCCATAGAACTCCGTCCTCACCTAGCCTTAACGCTCTTGCAATTACTGACTCCCTTTCCGCTTGCAGGTCTAGCGGAGGAATTCCCGCTAGAACCTGCAGAGCTGTCGTTGAAGTAGTTCTGTAGCCCTTGCAGATGAGCAAGAGCTGCAGCCTTTGCATGGACAAGAGTAATCTACGCATGCTTACGTTGAGTGTATTTCCCCACATCGCTGCGCCGTAGAGAACAATTCTTTCTGTAATTGCCTGGTACCCCCTCTTAAGCACCCACGGTGGTGCTCCCCCACTGCAGTCCTGTTGTGCGTAACATTGTGTTTGTGAGTGCGATACATCTTTTCCTGAGTTCTTTTAAGTGGGGAATCCAAGAGAGATTATTGTTGAGGATAAATCCTAGGTATTTTATGTTTGGAGAGCATTTTACTGAGCTGCCGTTCAGTCTAATGGTAGGATTTCTTTTCGTTAATCTCTTTTCGCCCTATAAATAGCATGGTAGTCTTTTTGCTGAGATCGTAAGTGTATGTTTTTGTGCCCACTCTAAGAACCTATTTAGTGCATTTTGTGTAATTGTCTCGATATTCTTTCTTCCCGAATTTACTGTTTTCAGTATTACCGAAAGAATGTTTCTTATAATTTGGTGCGTCGGGGGCCACATTTGCAGTCAACTGACCTTATCTGTGGCGATTTTTTATATTTTCCCAAAAATTTCCGGTATTCTGCTACAGTTTTCCTGCCAGGAGTCGGATCTGGCCTTTATTATTCGTAGTTTGTATTGTGTAATAGCCTTCTTGTACATCTGCATTTTTTGTGTCCTTTGTATGGGATCTGTTTCTGACTGTGCCATTCTTCTGAGCGCCCGAACTCTTCGGATTTTTGCATTTTCAAATTCTCTACACTTTTACCTTTCTAAAAATACCATTCTTTAATCTCTATGAAAATTAGAATAAAAAAATCTAGTTTTAATTTGTCATCTACTGCTTTGATCAATGAGGATTTTTACATAAAAACGCGTTTTTCTCCAAACGTGATTTTTTTATACTCGATGTATCTTTTCTCAGGAACTACTGCTCACAGGTATCTAACCTTTTTATGGCTTATTTATTAGGTTCCCTAATATTTACTGAAATGAGCTTTTTGTAATAAACTTAGAAAAAAAAATTTTTTTTAAATTTTTTGTGTGAGAAAAGTGCTAAATTTTACTATGCCTAACAAAATATCCTGTAATTTACTTCAAAATTCAAAATGTTTCAAAAGCTCATTTCAGTATACTCAGGTAGGTATACTTTAATTACAGAAAAAATTTCAAGCTTGTATCTACAGCAGATTTTGAGAAAAGGTACATCGAAAATGGCCAATTTAACATTGTCGGTATAGGGGTTTCTGATAGCCCTTAAATGCCTGTAGGCATCATCCAGTCCGTCTACGGTGTTGCTTGCTTGGAAGTTTAAAATCAATTGATCTACATACGGACGAAGCAGATTAAGGAATTTCTGATGACCTCCATAATCTGTCTTGGACCTCTGCTTCAGAGTATAAGTTAATTGAGTGCCCATTAGATAGCTAATTATTCTGTGGTCGCTCAGAGAGGGAATGTCCATAACATGCCATTCCGACATTTGATTTGCTAATTGTGAAGAAACCCTGGTTAAATCTGGCCAACCTTCTGCACTTGGGCGGTGAGTGACGTGTTTATGATGCTTACTATGTTTGTCATTGCATATTCCAAAACCTTTTCGTCTCTCACGTTTTCCACTCGCGCCCCCTATAAGGGACTTGAAGCATTGAAGTCAGCTGCTAATAAGATTTGGTTGACAGTGCTGATTTCTATTAGTAGAGGATCTAATTCCTCGCTTGGTGGAAAGTACACATTAGTAATTTGAGGGTGTCCGGTAGTTATCTCTAGCTTAATGGTAACTGAGGGTTGCGTCTGAGATGTAAGGAGGGGAGATAGAGGACCATTATAGATTATGACAGCCTCTTGAGAGGTTGACTGGAGCGTCTTGCTTGTGGGTGGAGTTCCTGGCAGATGACTATGTGCTAAATACGGCTCTTGTATGAAGGCGATATCCGTATTTTTCTTTGTTATAATGTCCATGAAGTTTAGCGTTGCAGATCTAGCTCTCTGCAGGTTGGCTTGGAGAAACCCAAGTCCTGTGATTTGACGGAATTGTTAACTACCTACATTTGTTGTTGCTGTGTTTTGCTGCCTCGTTGCAGTTCCTGTCGGTATACGGGACATTTTGAAGAACTTGCCGCATGACTTGTGTCAAAGTCTGTGCTATTATGCGTATTGGAGTGAACACAATTCGCACAATTTTCCTCTTCTGCCTTACACTCTTGTGTTAAATGACCTTTTCCGCACTTAGTACAGGCTGGTAGAAATCTGCAATTTTTACTTAGGTGGCCAAAGGGTTAGCAGTTATAGCAGTGGGTGATTTTTACGTATTCTCTAAACGGACATGAAGTAAATCCAATATAAACCCGCTTGTGGTCGAGAGGCCTGTCTTTGAATTCTGCTGTCACTTCCACTATCCAATTACAGCTAGTTTCGTCCCAATGTCTTGGGACTTTGGGGAAGATAACTGGCGACCGGTATTTCTGGCAAAAGATCTTCAAATGTTGCTTTTATTTCGTCTGCCATTACGTCCTGGGGTATCTCAAATACTATGAGAGAGCTCCTAAACGGACGGGGAGTCCTTAGTTCTAAATGTTCGAGATTTGCAAGAACTAACCATTCTCCTTTCTCCTAATA